CGGCAAGCGCATGCCCACTCCCCTGCCCGTGAGTGGGAGAGGGGGCATGTGTGCGGCACGCCATCTCGCCTCCTGGGGGGGAAAGGGGTGGGGCTGGAGGCTTGTCTTCACTGACTGCCCACTGACCGAGGCCAGTTGTGGGCACCGACCGTGCTACTGGCTCCCTTCAGGGCTTCGCGTTTAGTCCCTGTGGTTCAGTCCCCTGTTGCCCGCCGCAGACGTAGCAGAGACTTTGGAGTTGTCACTTCAGGACATGTGATTTTACCCAAATCCGATTTGCTGACATAAAACAATGTTGTTTGCTGATTGTCCCTTGTGGAAAGTTTCAGCCTGGGGTAGGGATGCAGGGAGTATCCTGGAATCCTAGAGCTGGAAGAGACCTCAGGAGTCATCGAGTCCAGCCCCCTGCCCAAGGCAGACGTAGCAGAGACTTTGGAGTTGTCACTTCAGGACATGTGATTTTACCCAAATCCGATTTGCTGACATAAAACAATGTTGTTTGCTGATTGTCCCTTGTGGAAAGTTTCAGCCTGGGGTAGGGATGCAGGGAGTATCCTGGAATCCTAGAGCTGGAAGAGACCTCAGGAGTCATCGAGTCCAGCCCCCTGCCCAAGGCAGGACCAACCCAACTCAATCAACCCAGCCAGGGCTTGGTCAAGCCGGGACTTAAACACCCCTAGGGATGGAGATTCCACCTCCTCCCTAGGGAACCCAGCCCAGCGCTTCCCCCCCGCCTAGGGAAATCGTTTTTCTTATTCTCCAACCTAGACCTCCCCCCTGTGACTTGAGCCCATTGCTCCTCGTAGGTGAATCATGCCTTGTGGCACGGTGAGGGCAGGGTATCTGGGCCATTGGTTTGCCGCAGTGTTAGCAAGGCAAGGTGGGTGAGGGGATGTTTTATTGGGCCAGCTCCGCCAACTTGCCTGCACACTGGGTAAGTAGTCCCCCCGCTTTAAACCTTCCCCTCCCTCCTGGCCCTTGTCTGCAATGCTGGGGGAGGGACGGGGGGAGGAGAAAAAGGCCTCTGGGGTTTGGGGGAGAAAATGGCCCTTTGGCTACCAGGGCGGGATGGGCTTGGGGAGAGAGAAGGCCTATGCTGGATACTACCCCAACCCTCACTCTTGCACCCCCCCAGCCTCGTGCATCTCCTCCCCCATCCCCTGACTCCTACACGCTCTAGGCCACCAGCCCCCTGCCCTGAAGGACCCAGGCAACTCCGGCTAAGTCTGCTAGTCTATTTATATATGTGTGAGAGTTTTTGAACAAGAACTCCTCCTAAACGGTAAGAGCAAAGACCACTACGTTCAGTATTCCGCTTCCTCTGATTTGTAACTTACAGAATGTAAGGGCTGGGTTGTGCCCGGACAACAGGATGTGCCTTGAACATAAGAACGGCCGTACTGGGTCAGACCAAAGGTCCATCTAGCCCAGTATCCTGTCTGCCGACAGTGGCCAGCACCAGGTGCCCAGAGAGGGTGGACCGAAGACAATGATCAAGCGATTTGTCTCCTGCCATCCCCCTCCAGCCTCTGACAGACAGAGGCCAGGGACACCATTTTATCCCCTGGCTAATAGCCTTTTATGGACCTAACCTCCATGAAATTATCCAGCTTCTCTTTAAACTCTGTTCTAGTCCTAATGGGATTGCTTCTCATAAAGCCAAAGAGAAGAGAGACAGGATTGCCAAAGCAAGTTCAGTCCTCAAATATGACATTACTGAGCGGATCTTGAGACGGAACCAAGGTGAACCGGAGAAATAGGAGGAACCTGGAATAGATTGCTTCTCAGTAAACCTTACAGAAAAGAGAGAGAACAGAAATTTGGCATAGTGCTCTGTGTTGGCACAGCTTAAGATTTGAAAACTAGAAGAGAATATTATTGGAAGCCAAACTGACTACAGCCTTTTTTTGTTAAAACATAGAAAACAAGAGTTCCCACTTACATTTTTTTTACTAAAATTAGCATCATAAAAATAGCACTGTCTTTTTGAAAAATAGAATCATTTCAATAAAGCATATATATCTTCCTTTTATCTCCTCCCCACCCTGCAATAATTGAGTTCAGGAGCTGAGCAATGCTGGGGAATCTGCCAGTGATCAATAAATCCAGTGTCTTTATTAAGACCCTGATTTTTAGTGTATAGCAAAATTGAGTTTAAGCTTCCCAGCTCATCATTAGCTCATCTGTGAAAGTAGCTGGCCTGTAAGTGAAATGGAATCCCAGCTGGGATCTGTTTTTTTTACCGTGTGTACAAGTGTTGGCCACGAGCTCTTCATCTCTCTGTGGGCTGGTCGAGAGACATGTTGCAGGAGGTCATGTCTGTTACTGGACCAACCTCAGCTGGTGAGAAGGACAAGCCCCAGCGAGCTGCTCTTTCGGTCTGAGCTGGTAGAGCATTTCAGGAAATTATATAACCTCCGAAATACCAGCTTCTCACAACTCCAGCTCAGAGGGGCATGATTAATGTCAGCATTAATCTATAATTATGCAGCTCCCTCAGTGAGCAGAGCAACGGCACATTCCAAGCCAAGTAATGAATTCAAAATCTTTTTTCTAGTAGCCTTCATTTTTAAAAACCATCTTGGAATGTAGAGAGTGCAGATGGGAAACTTAATGTGGCTGTTTGTTAGAAAATATTCTCTCCACTGCAAATTGTATCCAGCTGCTCAGGAGAAACAGGGTGTTCCTAGAGCGCTAACCAAAATGAGTTTAGAATATCCTGCAATAAAACCAATGCAGATAAACCAACTGTGTGTTAGAAAGGAGTGGACAGGAACATGCTGTAGCCAAGACGAGTATGCTTTGGCTAACGTTCCATCTCATGCCTTGAGACTGAATTTACATGGTGCAACAAGCTGGGGGTTTGAAAGGAAATCTTTCTGAATATAAAGGCTGGTAGATTAAGGAACTTTCCCCACCAATTAATTTCAAAATCAGGGTGTAATAGGATGCTTCTTGCAATAGGACCTGCGTTGGACACACTGTTTTCAGTGCAGAAAAGTAATTTTGGAGACAGAAACACAAGTCATCTTTGTTTTAAAAACTATTAAACTCCTAATGACCATCAATAGAGTCTGAATTATAAAGTCCTTATTTCTGAAACCAAAACTCCATTGCCCGAGTAAAGGCTTTGGGGATTTGGTCTAATGAATGAGTGTCCATCCAAGTCCACCCAGAGTTTGAGACCCTAATTTAGATAGGGCCTTGCTGATCACAAGATCTCACCTAGTGAAGGGCGGGTCAGAGCGCTGGGA